TGCTGAAGTGAAAAATTAGCCGAAGTAGACCACGAAACGACTTTGGCCCTGTTTCGCATTTCGAACTCTCGAATGTCGTTATGAAATTATAGCTAAAGTGTCTTCCGTTCGCATAACTACATCTCTTGTTATTGCACGCAGCTCATTTAGCTTAAGGTTGACTGCCAAGTCATCACCAACCCAATGATGTTACAAGACATCCTCCTGCTTGTCAGGATTAAACATTGGCATAATATAGAAACCATTATCTCCTTTTCTTCTAGACATGGATTGCAAGTGTCTTCTTTTTTGAGGTGATATTTGAAGTTTTCATGTCCAGTAATCAAGGAGGTCAGCCAACTTAGCGTACTCCGCGAAGAATTAATCACTTTTGTCGCTTCACTGATCATCGGTTTTGGCATCAGAAGTTTAGCCAGTCTTCAAGTGCTCATCTCTCTCCACCTCTTGAGATGCAGTGAAGCTTTCCACTTATTGACATAGGCCGTGATCATGTTCTGGCCCAATGATATTCTGGACTCTTGGCCGCACAGGTTACAGCTTGATCATCTGTTTTTTTATTTTGCTCCACATGATTTTTACTTTACTTCCATGAGCACATTTCATGAGCTTTGTTACACATTCTTGTACTAATGTGTGGCGGTACAGATCGTACTGGTATTGTACACAACTGTTCTAATTAGTTTTCTTTAAGATATAAACTCTTTAAAGTACTATAAATTTTGGTAAGTATTAAAAATCACATCGCCCCTACCACCTTTTCTATACGATGTTTTTGGTTTCATTTATAAAATAATCATTTTTCGATTTATATCGAGTGTATATATAAACACACTATATACATTTATTTATATGTATTCGTATATAGATAACTTCTATAATAAAAACTATATAATTATAAAATATTACGACTTTTGCTGTAATAAAATATTTAATAATAGATTTTTATTCACGCCAAGCCTAATATACATTTCCTATATAACTAAAATCATTTCTCTGTTTATGTACAATATATAAATTATAATTTGAGGCAATAATTAAGTATGTCACATTATAGCAAATTCATTAACAATTAAACATGCCTGATAGCTTATAAAACAAAATTTTTACTACAATCCATTAAAAAGTCATAAATAAAAATATTGTCATGTTTGCCTACATAAAATTTAGCGCATAAACCCATTTAGTACAAAAACAAATTATGCAATAAATTAAAATTTAATTAAAATTAAAAGATTTTTGTGTCTGGTAAGTAATAAAAAAAAAAAATAAAAAAAAATAGAAAAAAAAAATAGAAAAAAAAAAATAAAAATAAAATAAAACAGAAAAAATAAAAATAATAATTTTAATGATTACAAAATTTTTAATATCTTTAGCAAATATCGCATCCGCTACCGCATGCTACGTTTTATTAGCTACTTTAAAAGTCACTCAGTCAAAAGTTACTCAGTCCCACACTTTTAAGTACAAAACTTGTATCTGCGCTCTTATATTGCAATCGAAACAGCGTCAAATATCGTTCAGATACTTTGTTAAGCGTGGCAAGTTAGTAGCTTGTATGTCGGTGCGAATGTAGCGCAACGAATGAATTATGAACCAACCTGAAGCCAAAAGAAACTCTGCCGAAATAACTCATTAGAAAAAAAAATTTAACAAAATCATCACTAAAATATTCGAGACAATAAAGATATTTAAATGTTATTTATTTTATTTTTTTTTTCTTGCTATTATTTAATGATGATTTTGGCAGTTTATAAAGCTTTACAAACTATTCGCTGACTTTAGTCAAGTGTTGTTGCGTCGAGGCGCGTGCGCGGCTTTAACTAATTTATTTAATTTCGAAAAAATTAACTTTACTTTTATTTGTTTTAAAACTAATCAAAAAAGATTAAAATTATACTCAAACTGAAATATCATATAAAGAGGTTTTGTTTTTTTTTTTCAACTGCAAAGGATAAGCCAAAAAATGCCTGTGGTAATTTTTTAATAATTAAATTTTTTTATCTAATATATTTGGTAAAAAAATGCTTAAAAGTTGTGATAAAATTGTGTTGAGACTGTGGAAATATTTAACGTGGAAACCTAAGTATATTAAATATTAGGCTGTATAATCACCCCGATCTAAAAGATTTATTGTGCGCCAACCTAACTATAAGCTATGAAGCTAATTATTAATTTTTTTACTAAGACGCTGCTCTTTATTTAAACATATTAATTTTAATTTTTTTTAATTTTATTTTATAAAAAAAAAAATATTGAAGGCATCATGAACCACAAGAATAGAAAAACATTTAACATTAAGTTAAATAATTCTTATTACAAAAAAGTATACAATGGAAACAGTTATTAATTATTTTTCTTTTTGTTGAATATAATGATAACATTTTAATGGTACTTTCATACAATTTATTAAATTTTATAGAATTTTCTAATCACAGGAAATATACCTGTTTAGCATATCGTCGTATCTAACAAATGTTTTCAAAGTCCTGGAATACTAAAAATCTGTGTTTGATAAAAGTGAATGTATTGCAAAATGAAAAATAAATTCTATAGAAAGTACTTCTTTAATAACTTTTAATTCCAAATTGTTTAGTAATTCAAATCCTTAGATTCTAAATATTCAAACTCGAAATATTAAGCATTACCGTCATGATGTACCTACAGCAGGGCTGTGCTTTGGACTACATGCGGTCCACGTCTAATATATGTGTAGTCCGCGACATGTTTCTAATTTCTCCTAATGATGCATATTTTCAGTTGACTTATTTTGATAAAATTACATTATTTTAATTTCATAGTATCCCAACAAACTGATTTCAAATGAATAATAACATTCATAATTATAATAATATAATAAAACTAAATTTTACATTATTACAATAATTTTAGTTTTCTTCAAAGTAAACGAAGATCGTATTTAGGCCGTGTGCTAGTTCGAGTAAATTGTGGTAAAATAAATTGAAATTTTCTAGGGAATTTTTGCACTGCACTTATTTACCAATTTATCTCATAAAAGTGTGCGAGTTCGGGTAAATTAGAGTAAATGAATTTACTCGAACTCGTACACTTATAAAATTTTCACAATGATAATACCTAATATTTGCCTAATTTCACTTACTCGACATTCTGGTAAATACCAATATACGCTGCCATACCGACATAATTTACTATTTCCCCCAATTTACCATTAATTTACTGAAACTCGCATACGGCCTTACTTGTTTCTGCGGGACATGTAACCAAGGCTCAGTTGAATGATCATTTAAAGTTAGGGTAACTCTGATTATAACCTAACAAATTATTTTCACTATTATTTTATTATATATTTAAACTTATATGATACTCTGAACGATATGCTAATATAACTACTTGGTAACATTATAATATACTTAAAACTTCATTGTCAGAACCTTGAATCGGGCAACATTACTTTGAAAGCATTTATTATCGACATTTATAAAAAACATGATACTCAAATAAATATGTCAATATCTTCATATCCTTATTTTATTAGTGGTTTCAATAGACCTTGTGTATAACTTAATTATTTCCTAGAAGGTAAAATAACTGCAACGCATGTTTATTACAACTAATAATCAAATACATATTTGCTCTATATACCTTGTTTTCAATATATATTATCAAATTTTGACTACCTGCTCACTTTTCTTCTCACTTTATTCATTTATATTGCAATCCATTAGATTAAGTTAAATTTTGAAAGGGTTGGAGACTATATCACCACGCATCCTTTGAGGATTATTGTGACAAGCCTACTTTAGTTCTATAAATGCGTAGCAGTTTTCCCTTGGAGAGAAGTTGCCTATTTTCGTTATGGATAGGTAGTTGATAAATACTAAAGTCTGAGTCTGGCAAGAATATCACAGTGACACAGAATGTGTTTTGCTGTTTCCTCTTCTTCGTGACAAAGTCTGCAGTTATCGTCAGTCAGGCACCCTGTGACAATTCGAATGCCTTTTCTGTTCAGTATTAGAAGCTTCCTAAAGCTGGTTTTTGATCGAATCGGCATGAATTCTTTAGCTTATCTGCAAGCAATTACATTATCCCAATCAGTCTGAGCTGCATTTTCCTGCCATTCATTAATTTTAAGTTTGGAAAATCTTGATGTAGAACCACAGAATGATTTCGATCCAATATAATATGAGATCACCACTTTTCTGGCTAGTTCATAGGCTTTTCATTCATGTTTCATACAATCCATTCATATTTCCCTTACTATTTTCAAATATGGGTTATTCTAATAACAATCTGACCTAAGACTACATACATAATAACTTTCAAAGGCTAAATTGTTATCCTTTGAAAAAATAAAATTAATGATATTCTTAAGTATTTATTAAAAATTGTTAGAGAAAAGTTACAGTTAAATTTTATTAGTCCTAATGCCCCAATAATCTTTCTTTTCTCCAAAAAAACACCGATGATCAAATTTTTACTATAGTTTATTCACCACACCCAATTCGTTCATATAAAATTTTTTCAGTGTCATTTTTTATCAATTATCCGGCTATAGTTCTTGGAGATTTCTGCTTTATTAAGATATAGAATTAGAATTAATCGGCTACCATTTTAAAGCTTTTACCCATTCGCAAAACACTTTTCACGTAGCTTTCAGTATATTTTTGTCCTTTCAGATTATCTAAAGGTACTAAACGTTCCATATAAATAGACCACATGATTTTTATTTTCATCATGTTACTTTAAAAATGTTCATAATTTTTAAATGAAATAATAAATTAGTTTTCTTTATATTTCAAACTGCAATGATTTAGTAACTAAAAATTTCTATAATTTTTTTTTACTTTACTTTTCATAAATATGATACTAATTATTTATATTTTTACAATAACTAGTCATGTCGCAATTACA